TCGCAGCCCGATTCGTAACCACTACGCTACCAGAGCTCCTTCTATTTCTATTTCAGAGCTAATTCTAACTGATTAGAATACCCAAAAAGGGTTCTACAGCTTGACCGGTAAAATAGGCTTCTTGCAGAGCACTTGTATTGTATAAGTCCTTAGGTGGAATCCTGATTTGTATCCAGGACCTTCTGAGGTGGGACATTCCAACTTGAAAGGTCATGTAGACCAGCCCGGAGCAGCTTGGGGAGCAGAAGATACTTCCTGAAAGAAACACCAGCAGGCTAAATAAAAATAAAACCAGCAGTCTATTTGGCTAGTACAAGAGCAAGCAAGCTGTTCACTGGGGAGCCATCAAGGCAAGCAATCAAGCCCCTTAAAAATGAGACATGATCCAGCTGGTATGAAGTGAGGGGAGATGCACAAGAACACCCAAACTTGTAGATAGTACACATTTGACCTAGGCTTGATGGTTTGATAATCAGCACTCAACTAGCGGAAGATTAAAAAAAAAAAATTGATAAAGGAAACAAGGGTAAATTCCTACAATTTGATGAACTTGACCTATACTCATGAAGGTAGTAGCTCAAAATACCAACAGAGTAGGAAGGAGTCTTCACATCAAGTATCAATGCTATCCCCTCTGTACACAGGGCAGATAGGGATAGGCAACTCATACATTGGCTACCTAAAATGTTGTTGTTGTTATGTGCGTAGAGTCGGTTCCAACTCATAGCGACCCTGTACAGGGTTTTCGAGGCTGTAAATCTTTACGGGAGCAAAAAGTCTCATCTTTCTCCCGCGGAACAGCTGGTAGTTTTGAACTGCTGACCTTGAGGTTCACAGCCCGATTCGCGTAGTGGTTACGAATCGGGCTGCGAACCTTAAGGTCAGCGGTTCGAAACTACCAGCCGCTCCGCGGGAGAAAGATGAGGCTTTCTACTCCCGTAAGGATTTACACCCTCGGAAACCCTGTACAGGGTCGCTATGGGTCGGTACCGACTCAACGGCACTTAACAACAACAACAACGCTTCCACAAAGTGATTGGCTTACAAAGTTTCAAGAGGGAATTTAGTTTAAGATTGTGTGAGAGACGACAGAGTCCCTACTGAACAGTTTTCATCTTGTCTAGATGTGTCTGGTAAAAAGAGATGGGGATAAGTTTTTTATGATTCAATAGTAATTGTTATCATGACTAATTGCGACTGTCACAATTGTAAAGGTGGAAGTTTTGTAACAAAAATGGGGAAGTAGTTAATCTTTCAGTCAAGAAATAGAGAACCCTAGGACCATCAAGGGAGAAGAGAACAAGCAGAATGCGAGACTGTATCCAGAGAAGCAGCAACACCAGAGATGGAGGCAGAGATGGGGACATGGAGAGAGTGGGCAGCTGAGGACTCCAGATTCACCGAAAGAGAGGGACTGAGAGCTGGTGGCCAAGAGGCAGACTTGCAGAATGTGCCCTTCGGTGGTGTAAATTATTATATATGCCTGAGTGTTTAAAAAAGGGGGGGTGGGGAAAGAGCTAAAATGAATAGAGAGAAATACTGTTAACTGATGGTACATGGAGAGGATTATAATCATTGTAATTAAATAAGGGGTATGATTTGTTGAACGTAAAACTGATGAACTGCCCTGTAAACTATCACTCAATCCACAATAAAAACATAAAAAAAAAAAAAAAAAAAGATGAGACATGAAGTGAGGGCAGAGGATAGATAGATACTGCTGCATTCCACGGAATTTTACTTCTTAGTATGAAGAGTACCCCCAAGAACTCATACCTATTCTCAGGTAATGGTCCATAGGACATCAATTTCCTCCAGGAAACTTGTTTCTTGGGAATGTACTGTGCACATGAGGGTATCTTCTCAGTCTCTACTGAGTGGACAGGTAAATATGTAGCTTCACTGCTGAGCAGATACCAGCCTGGGGCTTGGGACCCTGACTTCCCCATCAGAACTGCAGGTGGCTGGGGGTAGGGGGATGAGGAAGCATCACAGGGAGGATTCTTGTACAAGCCTGTATCACAGTGTTGGATTTTCGGCACAGGGACCCAGCTGACCGTCCTAGGTGAGTCTCTTCCTCCCCACTTTCCCTGCTTCCCTACTGTTTAGAGCAATTTTCTGCTGTTTTTTGAAATTGTCCATGTTTTGTCTATGCCTGAGTCAGAGGTCAGAGATTCACTCAGAAGTTGGTCTCAGCCTTTTCCCCCTCCCTTTTCAGAACTTTCTTTGTGGCTTCAGTTGGTCACTGTCTATCCTTCCCTTCTGACCCCACAGGCAGAGGATGAACAGGATGACCCTAAACCTTATGCTTCTCTCTTAAGATCATATTGGGTCCTAAGATTTGTTCTGTCCTGTCCTAAGCCACTGGGCTTCCTTAAATCTCCCCCAGTCTGTGGGTCCCTCAGGGTCCTGGTCTGAGAGGAAAGAGGAAACAAGTGACCACTGAGAGAGTGACCACTGGGGAGACTCTAGAGGATCTGAAATTCTCAGGTTGGAGACTGGTCATCACAGATCAGAGGACTAAGGCAGGGTTTCCATGGACAATGAGAGTTGAGGTCCAGAACCCAAGAATGTGACAGGAGGTGGAAGGTTCCCCCAGTGATCATGGATCTACCATTCACAGAGCTCTGAGTTGCCTGGGAGTTAGTGGATAGGAGGATAGAGGAGAAGGTTCTGGACCCCAGGGCCAGAGGAGGGTCATCAGGGGCAGGGTGTGAAGGGGACAGTGGACCCTGGGTCTCCTAGTCCCTAAAGGCACAGATAGCAGATCACTTGAAGTGAAGCCATAGGTATGAACAAGCAGTCACAAGGAACCCTCAGATCTGACTGCAGACTAAGAGAGAACCCACGCAGAAATATTTCTCAGATCTGGAAGACATCCTTCAAATTTGGAGGAAACAGCATACATAATGGAGCTTACTGAGAACCTGTGCCAGGTCAGAAATATCCCAAGAAGAGACCCCCACAGGAGAGTCAAAAGTCTTGATTCACCCACCCAGGCTCATCTTGTATGTTGCCTGCTTTGGGCCTGGAATCAAGCATTCATCCTCAGTGCTCGGATTCCATGCGGTGGGAGGCAGTGTTAGGTGTTAACTCACGTCTCTCCTATGAATTAACATTATTAGACCCACCCAACAATGAGACCATAGTTTAATCTGCATAGGGGCAGGGGATATCTCCAGGTCTCCCTGGAGATTAAGGCTGACATTTCTCACAAAGAGCATTGGCCAGGTTCTCTCCCAACTGAGGACACACAGTGAGGTAGGGTGACACCAGAGTCAGTGAAGTTTGTTGGATTCTCCCCATGGTCAGTGCGCCCCAAAGCAACCTGCTCATCTCTGATGAGAATGGGTACTCCAGTGGAAACCCTCTGCCCATACTGTCTGTCTCATCAAGAATTAGAATTTTGTCAACTCAATAGAGATAGACTGCTGCTTCATTGCATGGAACTCCACTTCTCAGTATGGTAATCACCCCCAAGAGTTTATTCCTATTCCAGGGCAAAACCAGATCCAAGCCACCAAACTCCTCTGGGCATCTTGCTTCCCAAGGACATGCTGTGCACATGAGGTCACCTGCCGTATCTCTACTGAGTGAGCAGGCGGGTGTGTGGCCTCACTGCTGGGCAGATGCCAGCTGGGGCAGAGGCCGAGGCTTCCCCATCCCAGTTTCAGGTGGGCTGGGGGACTTGAGGTGAAGGCATCACAGGGAGGGTTTTTGTTTGGACTTGTGTCACAGTGTTATGTGTTCGGCGGAGGGACCCAACTGACCATCAAAGGTGAGTCTCCTTTTTGCCCCTCTTCCCCTGTATCTCCAAGACTTGAGGCAATTTTTCTGCTGTTTATGTTTTTGTTCTTGGTTTTACCTCTGTCTGGAGTCAGTTATTTCTCCCAGGAGTTGGTCGCAGGGAACGCTGGTTTCTTCCTTCTCCCTGTGCAGATGTTTCTTCTTGCTTCCACTGGTTACCATCAGCCATTCAACTCTAAGCAAACAGGCAGGCACAGATGACCCTATGTCTGTCCTTCTCTCTCAGAGACAGATTGGGTCCTAAGATTTGCTCTATTCTGATCCACTATCTGGGCTTCTCTCAGTGGGGTCACTGGTTCTTCTATCTCACGGGGAAGAGAGGACAAAGGAATACAGAGAGTGACCACCTGGAAGACTCTCAAGGGACCCAGAGTTTAGGGTTGAGGCTGAAGAACATAGGTCAGAGGCTGGGGTTGGGAATCCTGCATGGTGGTACTAGGGATCCAGGGCCCAGGAACATGGCAGGAGGTGGAGGGTCCCCCAGACTGAGGGAGAGTCATCAGGGACATGTGAGGAAGATAGTGGACCCTGGGTCTCTAAAGGATACAGTCCCTCAGACACAAGAGCTCCTGAGGTCACAGACAGATTACTTGTAATGAAACCCACTGATAAGGACCAAATGGTTAGATTGTTGTTGTTATTGTTAAGAATCGTGGAGTCGGTTCCAACTTATAGTGACCCTGCACAGGGTTTCCAAGGCTGTAAATCTTTACAGGAGCAGAAAGCTTCATCTTTCTCCCATGGAATGGCTGGTAGTTTCAAACTGCCAACCTTGTGGTTCACAGCCTGATTCGTAACCACTATGCTACCAGAGCTCCTTAAGGAGGAGGGAACAATTTGGGAGGCAGTTTGGGAGGGTCCTCTGGTAAGTGAAGATGGGAATTTCCAGAAGAGGTAAGTGAACCAAACAAGGCATAGGTGAGGGACACATTGAGAGAGGGGTGATGTCCCAGACTAAGAAGGCCTAGGATTCTAGAGAAAGACCTTTAACTGCATCCTGGAGGCCACAGGGGCACAAGATTGTTTTTTCTGGGATGGATATAGGTGGGTGATATAGGTGGGTGCTTCCATGTCACAAAACCCCCACCACCTCCAGAGCTCCTTAATGGTGCCCTGAAAATCACTGTGAAGATTAGGAGAGACCCCAGTCAGGAAAACTTATTCAGATTAACGAATCTCTTCCTATATGATACCCTTCAGGAGAGACAGAATTAGGGAAAACAGATCTCACCAGACATACAGTCCAGAATTCCCTGAGAACCTGAGTCACGTTAGAAATATACCCAGAGTAGATCCCACAGGACTATCAGAAAGCTTGCATCACCTGCCTGGACAGACTGATGCCCAGACAAACTCTGTTAGTATGTCATGAGGAGACAGGGCATGGGTCAGGGACATACTTTTGTGTGGGGACTGAGGGAAGATGGGTCTCATGAAGGTGAATGGACAAGGTCTTCATGAGTGATAGAAGTTGTCTGAGCAAAACTCTAGGTCCAACTCCATCCCGACATGGACCCTTAGGATCATCATGGACCTTGATCTTGGACACTGAGGTCAGAGTCCCCCAAACTTGGATGTTGTCATCCTAATCTCCTACCCATCATCTATTACTGCAGATCAGACCACAACCTCACCTACAGTCACTTTGTTCCCACCATCCTCTGAGGAGCTCCAAACCAACCAGGCCACACTGGTGTGTTTCATCAATGACTTCTACCCAAGCGATCTGTCGGTGACCTGGATGGCAGATGGCAAACCCATCAATCAGGGTGTGGATACCAGCAAGCCCTCAAAACAGAGCAACAGGAAGTACGCGGCTAGCAGCTATCTGACCCTGACAGCCAACCAGTGGAAGTCTCATGACACCTACAGCTGCCAAGTCACGCATGAGGGGAGGGTCGTGGAGAAGAGTTTGAACCGACAGGAGCTTGCCTAGGACCTGACCTCACCCCATCCAAGTGGGTCGAGAGAGGCTGAACCCTTGTTCCCTCAGTCATCCCATGTCCTTCTCCCTAAATCCTCTCAATTAAAGATTATCATTGTCCATCAGAAAACCTGCTCTGCTCGTGTTTATTTGAATACTTTTCATCCTCAATTTGACCATTCTAAAAGGTGACAGAATCCTTTTAACCTTGTAGGTAGGCTGTCTAGAGGAGAGGGTCACCACTGTACTTGATAGAAATTTATTATCAGCCTTCAAATCCCCGGAGAACAATTGAGAAGAGGAAAATGGGGTCCAGAGTAGGAACTCAGGCCTGCCACTTCCCACACCCCACAGATCTTCCTACTACTATGTGGAACTCACCCACCTATATCCATCCCAGAAAAAACAATCTTGTGCCCCTGTGGCCTCCAGGATGCAGTCAAAGGACTTTCTCTAGAATCCTAGGCCCTCTTAGTCTGGGAGAGCACCCCTCTCTCAATGTGTCCCTCAGTCATGTAAATATAGGACCCCCACCTATGTCTTCTTTGGTTCACTTACCTCTTCTGGAAATTCCCATCTTCACTTACCAGAAGATCTTCCCAAACTGCCTCCACAACAACACTGCCCCTGCTCATCCCTCTAACATTCTCCTACAGAACCCTCACTCTCCAGAATCCAGATCACTTGCTCTCACTCTGCCCAAGGCATCACTAGTATCTTCACCTGCATTAAGGCCTCTTGGAAACAGAGCTATCTCTGTTCTCCCTTCTGTCCCCTCATATCTGGCCCCTAGCATCCATGTGTCCATGGGGGCACTGAACTGTATCCTGTTAGTTCAACATCAAGAGCTGGATTCTTGAATTGAACCAAGGATTTATCTATAACTGACCCACCTTTGTGGTGGTCAGCATGGAATCTGAGAACTATGTAGATTGTTATCAAAGGAGCTAACACAGAACGGGAGATCAGAACAATCACACACATATATGCCCATATAAATTCACACACACACACACAATACACGCACGGGTTATTGTTGTCAAGTTGATTTCAACTCATAGCATAATGCTTCATTTTTCTCCTGTAAAGTGGCCTTTCCATTTAGCAGCCCAATGCTTAACCCACTGCACTACCAGGGATTCCCTAGTTAGTACCATCAATGTGCTGACTGCTAATACTGTTGGAGGTTCCAGTCTATCCAGAGTCACCGTGGAAGAAAAACCTGGTGATCTATTTCCAAAAACATCAGTCATTGAAAACCCTGTGGGGTGCAGTTTTACTTCAATGCACATGGAGGCTTCATGAGTCCAAGTCGACTCAACAAGCAAGTGGACATAATCACACACCTGCCATTTACAAATACGGACCATGGCTGGCTGTCTTGCTGGGAGTATCACAAAAGTTTTGGGGAGGGGGTCCTTTTAGAAGGACCAAGAGTGGTTGTGGGCCTCCAAAGCAGAGGAGAAATACTGAGGTTTTCCTGCTTTCTTTGTCATCAGGAGTCAGAAGAAGTGAGAACTTCTCAGAAAGGGCTTGTGTGCCCCGGGCACAGCACTGCATATGGGCCCAATGCTGTATGCTGAGTGGCCTCACCATGAGAGACACCTTGTGTGTACCTGGCTGGTACATGCACATACACATGATGTCACTGCCTGTGGAAGTATGTGTCAGCCAGGACAGGACAAAGGATCTGACAGACATGTCCACTCTTAGACTTGTTGGAGGAGATTGCACTGGGAATGTGGGCCTGCCTCACACTCTCTGGGCCCCTTTCCAACCATTCTAATGAAGTGTTGGTTCGTGATAGAATTCTCATCTTCCATGTTGGAGTCCAGCGTTTGATTCTCTGCCAATGTACCCCATGTGCAGCTTTCAGTGGAATTTCCAGACTAAGATGGCCTAAGAAGAAAGGCATAGTGATCTTCCAAAAACCAGCCAATGAAAATTCTATGGAACACAATGATCCAATCCACAACTCACCATGGGATTGTTTATTGAAAGCTTATTGGGTTCTGGGAGAATAACTCAGTATGACAGAGGAAATAAGAAAGACCCTGGGATCTCCTGGGTGAGGGAGGTCAGGCCCTAAATACACGCTGCTGGGGCTACCCAGCAACATTTCTTTCTGTTGTGCATGAGGTCATCCTGAGTCAGGGGCCAGAAACATGGCAGTTAACAACTACAATATCTCTAATTCTACACACTCCCCCCTTCAAAAAGGAAGTTAACACAATGGGGCTTAGGAAAGGGACCCAGGCAGTGACCCCACCCCACCTCACTTCACCTTCAGGATGACCACATAGGGACAGGAATGTGGGTGCTGAGGACCCTGCCAAGGGTCTGGGCACTTAGGGGAAAATGTGGTGCTTCCCTCTCCCACCCCCCTACCCTATCCTTCACCCTGCCAAGCCCTCCTATGCTAAGGGTGTAGCAGACTTCCTGGACCCTCCCCGCCAATCCCCTCAGTCCCAGTTCTATTCGTTTCTTTCACACAGATGAGCTGAGCCAGGGTCATCCAGCTTTTTCAGGGCTGGGAGTTACAGGAATCAAATGCAGGATTCTCTCCAGTCATGACCCACTGGGAATGGATGAATCCTACCCAGATGAGGAAAGGAGTTCCCATTGAGCAGGTTCCTCAGCCCTCATCCTCCCTCAGCCCAAGCAATCTTTCCTTCCTGGGTCCCTGGACAGCTGCAGGAGGACTGGGTAAGTAGGGACAGGGTACTTCAGGAAGGAATCTGTGTGCTAAACTGTGTCACTATGTTCTGTGTTTGGTGGAGGGACTCAGCTGACCTTCCTGGGTCTCTTCTGCTCTGTCCTGTTTGGGGTCCAAGCTGAAGTTGTCAAATTTTCTCTCCTTTGTGTCTTGCCTGGGGCTAGGGTTTGGACCATTCTAGAGGGTCATTGTCCCCCTCAGCCTGAACCCTAGCTATTCCCTCTTCTACGGCACCTAGCTGGGGCAGAATGGGGTGACTCTTCCCTGTACCCCCTCAGGCCCAATACTACACTGGGACTCTCTCCAAAGGATGTTCCAGAGATCTCAGGGTCCTGTGAGATGCCTCACCAGGGTTACTTTACATAAGCTCATTGCTTTCTAAACAATGATGTCCCTTCTAACCCCGGTGACCACTATTGAACTTTGATCTCTATGAATTGGTCGATTCTAGATACGTCATTAAGTGTTGTTTGTTGTCAAGTGCCTTCGAGTTGGTTCCAACTCATAGCAACTATGTATAGGGTTTCTGAGGAGTGACTGGTGGGTTTGAACCACTGACCTTATGGTTAGCAATCCAGGGCTTATCCTATAGCACCAAACCAGGACTCCAGCCATTAAGTGGGATCATGCAATATTTGTCCTTTTCTGGCTGCCAGATTTCACTCAGCATAATGTTTTTAAGGTTTATTCATGTTGTCACATGGATTAGGACATTACTTTTCTTTGCTGTTGTTGGTAAGTGAACCAAGTCAGTTCCAACCCATAGCAATCTTGTATAGGGTTTCCAAGGAGCGCTGGTGAGCTTGGACCACCGACTTTGCAGTTCAAACCAACTTTGCAGTCCAGCACATTAACCTTCCAAGTAAAAGAGTCCTAGTGGCACAGTGGGTTAGGCACTAGACTGCTAACCAAAAAGTCAGCAGTTTGAACTCAGCAGCCACATGACCGGAAAAGGATAGTCTGCTCCTGTAAATATTCACAGCCTCAGAAACCTGATGGAGTTCTTAGATGGAGAATGGAAAGGGCCCCAGTTCCTGCTGCTGCTGCTGCTGCTATTTACTATCACGTCACTTCCAACTCAAAGTGACCCTGGATAGGTTTTCTGAGGTTGTAGATCTTTACAGAAGAGTGCCTTATTTTTCTTCTTCATTCTAGCCCAGTGTGTAATCCAATACACAGAGCTGAGCTAAAACTGGGGTCCCTTCCCCATAACCCCAGGAGCAGGGGGCTGAGCTTGTGACTGGCAGGACCCAGAGAAACAGGAACCAGGGTGAAGGGAAAAGAACTGATCTCTTAGGATGTTCCTATCCAGCCCCTGAATGTGTGACTTCAGCTCCACATGTGGAGACTTTGCAGGTATAAATAAGATTTGGGTGTTTTTTTTTAATTCATCAATTTTTTAATGAGGTTCTTTTTATGCAAGAAATCTAGAATACTAATTTGTGAGGATAAATTCCATTTGTGAGCGCAAACACAGCACACAGGTAACCTTGGAGCTGGGGGATGGCTTTGATTTTTGGCATAATCTGTGAGTCCACAGCTTTTTGATCCACTTTGTACTACTCTGTAATCTCATATTTCTTCCTCGGTGTCAAAGATTTCGCCCTCTTGGTGTCTGGGCTTCTGCAGCTTCTTCTTCTTCTTGAAATAAGCCTCCGTGAGATGTTTGGGGATCTTCACATCACTGATTTCAATTTTGGTGGAGGCGACAATGACAAATTTCTGATGTGTTCTACACAGAGGAACTCGATTGAGGAAGAAAGATCTAGTCACAAGGAGCAAAGCACTGGCCAGCTGCTTCAGGAAAACCACTCTCTTGCCTCAGTGGCACCCAGTGAGGATGATCAGAATGGTCCTGGGAATGGTGTTGGACCGCAGTCTTCTGACATGCTGACTGAAGGGCTTTTTGCCATGGCTCAACAGCTTCCGAGGCACATCTTCAGTCGGGTAATATCTAGGCATTTTGCACAATTGGGACCACCATTCTTGTCACCACCAACTGGCTTTATGACAGTAGCAAAAACCTTCTACTTCTTTTCAGTCCTGAATTTAGCAGCTGAATACTTCCTCTTGTACATGGCCTTTCTGGAATACATGGCCAATCAGGAATACCTGCCAATTCCTCAGACTAGGACAGGATTTTGGCTGCAGTGCAGCTTCTCCTGCTTGGCTTTTTTGCCCTTGAGGTTAGCCTTCTTAGCTTTGCCATTGGCATCTGCTTTTTTGACTTCAGGCTTCTTCTCCTTGGTAGCTGGCTTCTCAGCCTTTTCACCCACCATCTTGCAAGATGGGAAAG